CCAGTCCAAATTGGTCCCATCCTACAGCTCACAGAGAAGCAGGACTGGTCCAGTGGTGCTGCTCACCCATTGCCCTGGGCACCTTCAGCGTTACAGAGCCTGGTGGACACAGCAGCCTGGAAGATGCTTTTCTTCCAAGGAGCCCAGTGTCCTCCTGCTCCTCTCCAGGGAGTCAGCAGCTGGTGACTATTTTGTAGGGTTTCTTTATTAGACACTGGTTGGATTTTCTTTTTTCCTGTTGTAAATAAAAATTTCCTTTTAGGCCTGACAATTCATTTCTCGCCTTAAAACACCCTACCTCTTCTCCTTCTCTTCTGCCCTCTCTTCAACCCAGCTGAATAAAAGCAAAGTCAGAATTGCTAAGCCCCTTGAAGAAACAGCCTAAGCTGTTTCTTTCCTATTTCAAAATGAAGATGGGTATTTCTCCAGGGCAGGTCCCGTTTAACTGCCAAAGCCAAGCAGTTCAGACAAGATTACTCACACCAGCTCAAAAAACAAGAAGTTTCAACATCACAGGCGTGCTGAGACCACGGGGAGGAAAAACCAGCGAGATTCTTTACCACCTCTCTCCAAATTACACAAAAGGATATGATCATAAATCAATATAACATCCTGAAAGAATGAAGTCGAAGTGTTTTGTTTTCATCTTCTATTTCCGCAGCACATTTTGAGCCCCTGAGTTCAGAGCAAGAACCAAAACCACGTTTTAGTGTCAAAACCTGCCACCTAGAGAGCAAAACTGCAAACGAAAGAAACAGGTTTGTAAGCTGTTATTTTATAGCAACTATCTCCTAACATTACGGATGTGCTGAAAACTATAAATATGCTGTGCTGCCTTTTACAGCAACTAAACAGATTTTAAAAGACTCTTAATTATGTATCTGCACAGCACAGACATCGTTATAGGCTACTGCGCCTACTCCCAGCGCACACACTGCTGTGTGTGGCTCCGTGATTATAGGAGAGAAAAACGTATTTTTTCTCCCAGTTCTATAAATTTCTGTAGTTTGTGTAAGCAAAGAGCAATCTCTTTGCTTTTCTTTTGAGAACATGGAACTGTCACAGAAAGGAAATCAGGTTTTAATGAGAAGTTTTGGGTGCTTTGAGTGGCAGCAAACTGTCTGGGTCCGAGTCTAGTTAGTGAGCTATGGATGCTCAGCAGGTCCAACAAATACCAGGCTGAAGGCATTTTCCAAAATTGTAAACTTTGATTCCGGGTAGATTCAACATTAAACCATATTCTGACAGATATGAGGAAAGGGAATATATCGAAGTAACTTCTCCTAAAAATGGTACCTATCGGGTTGTAATTCCTGTACAAAACATCTCCATAACATATTCAGTCACAGGGATCCCGTGCTTCATTACACAGACCAGTTAGGACGGGAGAAAAGGCAGATGAGCCATTGCTATAAATTAAGAATAACGCATTACTTACTCTTAATTGTGAATTACTTCACTGGGTTTCCATTACCACCCATCTCCATCAATGCTCTGTGATGGGTTCTCAGTGCTTTGGGCTGCACAGAGCAAAAGTTGGACGCAAGGTAAAGAGCAATTCCCATAGGTGCTGCCGCCTATAGCAACTCGGGTGTGAAACACCCTGGATCTGCTGCCTGCCAGGTGTCCACAGTGGAACAAATCCTCGGGAAATCACCAGCGGGATCCTCCCCGTATTATCAGACTTACAGCCCCTCTTACAAAAAGGGTTTATCTAATCCTGACCAGTGACAGGCAGCGGGAAAGGGAGGGGAAAAGTGATGCTAAATTGATTAAACTATTGCATTAGTGCAGGTCATGCTTAATTCCACAGTTTCAACACAATTAAGAGCATGGGAATCAGAAGTCAGCCCCCGCTTTGAAGCCATGGGCACAGAAGCCAGTCCCTGAGGTTCCTCTTGAAACCACTGTTAACGTTTCTCAGAGCTCAGATCCTGGCATTTTCTGGCCCAATTTGCTCTGCCTCCACCCCTCACTTCGCTGCTACCAGAGGATCCAACTCCTTGACCTGCAGGGGACCAGTACCGAAATCTGAGGGCAGGTCAGTCACTGCCCCAGGCTGAAGGACAACGTGACTTTGTAGGCACTTCCAGTCTCCCAAATTAGCAGCCTTCTGCGAGAGCACAGCCTCTAATCCACTTGTCACCAGTGAGACCCATTAGTGAGTGCTCCTCTCTTCACCTTAAAGCTTGAAATCTGCCGTTTGATCTGGGAAGAATTAAGTTGCATCTTCAGTTCAACTAAAGCCACCTCGACCGTCTCAATACAGCAGCCAACCACTTTTAATTGGTGCTGCGCTAGGGTCCTGCAGCGTTTCAATCTGCCACAAATGGGAGCAGGTAAGGGAGAGGATAAGAAGTAGCACATCAAAAAAATGGGACAACTTGAGGAACTGTGGTGAACCTCAGAAACTATGATAATAGCTACTGAGAAATCCAGCACTAGTCACCTTGGTAATCCCAAAAGGTTTTAAGAACATCTTGACGCCGGAGCACAGAGCTCGACATTTCAGCAACCTCTCCTGCCCTCTCCACACAGAGGAGACCTTATTTAAACCAAATGGATTTGCATCAATGTTTCCTCCTGTTTTCATTGGTGAGCTTCAATAAAGTGAATCTTAAGAAATCCCCTTGCTAGAATCTTGCGCCAGAGCATCATTTTTAAGTACAAAAGTACAGAGAGTAACTTACCACTCTCTGCCCCCAAAATACTACAGAACAAAACATTCACCCTGGAAAACAGCGTAAACACAGAAGAAAAAAAAACCAGGCATTAATACATTCTAAAAACCACAAAAGGCATCGTATTCATTAGGTGTGACAGACGTCTAATCAACCTCAAGAAAAATTACTAACATCATCAACTCAAGGAGCACCTACCAGAGAGAGCTCCAGGTGTCGTTCAAAGACAAATATTGCCCAATAAGAGGAAAAAAACCACACGAAGGGGATCTGCATTCTCTTTTTGTTCAAGAAAACCAGCGTGGCAATGGATTTCCTTGACCAAAATGGACATCTAGAATTTAACCCTCAACAGCGCAAGTGATTTATGGACGGACACCATTGCCAAGCCTAGAGCAAGAGAAAAAAAGGACTATTTGATAAAACTTAACAAGAACTCACACAGTAACATTAGCAATGTTACTTGCACATAAAAACTACTTATTAAGTTATAAGGCAGCAATGAATTTAAGGCTTAACACTAGGCTCAGCTTTTGCCTTTAAAAAAATAAAGAAATTAACAATTTTCCAGGTCAGATTACTTGAAATATTTATTCACAAGTACATAGGGTATTAAATGGATAGGACTATATTTCCCAATGAGACAATATCACAAGCAATGTAAGAGGCTCTGATAACTTTCAAGGGCACATCTGTAGGCAGCAAGAGAAAACTAAGCCCTTCTATCAGACAAGGTCAGGTTTCTTCCTCATCCTTGGGTGCCTCTGAAAGAGCTTTCACGGAGCAATCCCTAAGAGGAAACTTGAGGAAACCTCAATCATCCTGGAAGCTGTCTGTTATAACACTGGTGGCAATGATGACATTGAGACAGTCCATCAAGAAGCATTACCCATCCCAAAATTCATGTTGTGGAGAAGCCCATCACAAGAAGTTACTTTGATCAGCAGGCTCGTAAGAAGATAGACTGCAATATCCTGGCATTCACTGGTGAAGGATGGCACTCTTACACAGACTGGGACATTTTAGTGCTGGTATTTCTCAAGTTAAAGGGCATGGTTTGGTCTTTGTGCTCCAGATTAAATCAGGCACCACCAGAAAACTGAGCAGATGTAGTAAGAAAATTCCTACCTGTTGTCATAGGCTTTATCAAATGATTTACCACTCAACATTGCTTTCTGTCGTCCAGTGACATGATGTCAGGTTCATTTTAGTAAATCATACCGAGGTGAGTAACACAGCATCTGGTCTCTATGTCCTAAAGCCTGTCTCATCTGACTGATGCCTGACCATATATGAAGCATATTAATGCACATGCAGTGCAGTGGAGATGTGACCTGTGCTTTTATGCATTTTGTCAGGGCTTAGCTCTAGGATCCGTAAATGTCAGCATGAAGGTACCTGCCTGCTGCTTGCATTAGGAAGAGAAATCCCACAGGCATTTGAGTAAGAAAACTAAGAACAGTTGCAAACAAATAACGACACAGTTTCTCATAACAGCACCTTTATGGAACACAAGGTTAGCTTTAGACAAGTGTCAGATTACATGAATTTTCAATCCTCTATAAATAAAGCAATCTCGGGTTTAATCCGTCTTGATAAAACATACAGCACTCATTTATAGGCACGGTGCTTGGGCTATTTTCAAAGTAAAAAAAAAAAAAGGGCTTTCCATTACAGTGCTGGGAGTGGTTAACAAGAAAAATACCTTATTACATTCTGTTCCAGAGAATAGGAATTCTCCTCCAGTATGTCCTGATGTTATTAGGATTTCAGAACACACAAGCAATGCAACCCTAGTTAAGATACAGAGGAAATGAAGGTAAGGTAAGCTAAAGACCAAATCATTTCCATAGTTACAGACAATTTTGAATATATATTTGTATTGGAAATAACCTAGATTCATTTTAGTGCATAAAAATTCCATCTCTCCACACAACAAACAGAATTCCTTGCCAGCAGAGGACTACACTGTGCACGGCTCAGCCTTGAAAAGGAAGTCTGGATTGCAGCCATATCCAGCTACGTGGATCAACAAGAAACCCCTTCAGATCCAGCAGCTTTGGTTTAATGGACGGAAGCTTTGGCCTGTTGTTCAAACAAACATACTCACCAGCAACGAACAAGTAAGACTGGATTTTTTTTAAATAAAGCAAAGTGTGATATGTGCATAAAGTCAGTGCCTTGATCCTTAAAGGCATCTCTACAAGCAACTTTACCTTAAAATGGGCAGTGCTTAAGTTACAAAAGATTCAGACCTTCAAGGCTGATTATTTTGTTTACGATGGTTGAAGAAACAGCTCTGCTTCAGGAATTCAAAAGTTGAATCAGATTTAGTAGTAGATTTATTAATGTGCTGTGATTTACAATGAGGTGATAATGTCTGAACCAAGGAGACATCAAAACAGGTTTAGCCAGGAGGTTTATGGCTTCCAAGTCAAATTCACAGACCAGTGTCAGTCATTTGGGCAACTGAAGATTAGCAGACGAAAGATAAGCGGAGGCTGGGTGCTGCACTGAGGTTTTGGTGACCGTATTCCAAAGTGTCTTCTCTTACAGCAATTTCCTCTTCTCAAACTCCTGCAAACAGCACACAGACATTACCAGTGGGGAAAAACAATGAAAACACTTCTATTACTATTTTATTTTATATTACTTCATATTTATCTTAGCAAATCTGTTTTTAGGAATTAAAAACTAGAATTAAAAATTAAAATTTAAAATGCCCAATGTAAGTAAGTTAGGGGAAAGAAGAATAAGTACTCTCCCACCTCACATTAACAAACCAGCTACACGAAACCAGCAGTGCCAGACTGTGGTCAGTGCACAGCACTCAGACTGCAACGCTTTCGAGGAACCATCTGCTCCAGGCACAGCAGAACAGCCTCAAAAAACACTAATTCTGCGTAAGAACTGCAGCAGAATCCCTACACTAAAGGATTCAAGGCAGGGAAGCAATGAAGTAAGATTTGCATTTTAGTAAAGGGATAAAACCACAAGAGAAGAAGAGAAGATTCCCACAGCAGCCTGTGAAGATGCAGTCACCATAGGAAAAACAAAAAAATACCTAGCACAGCTGAATTATGCATTTTCTGTAGCTGGGAATCAATGCCTTTTTTTGGACATAAATTAAGAAAAATGCAAATATTCCTACCCCATACAAAGTTTTTCAGCTGTACGCATTCAACCATAATTCTGAATTAGTACTTAACACAGACAGACTTATGTGCCAAGGCTTTCTCTCCTCAAATACCCTACTTTCAAAGAATGTTTTCATATTTTAAATTAATTCAGGTTCTTCGCATGCAGAAAACACAGTTCAACAAGTAACTACACTTAAAAGCAAAATGTAATCTCCTCTCTATTTTGCTATGTTTACTTTTATAGAAAGGCAACATTACATAAACTACGTGCACGTATTATCTAAGTAGTAACTGCAGCTTGTTCAGTCAATAGAGTTCTTATGTTCAACCAAGTTCAGAGCAACACAATATTTGGGTAAGAGATGTGCTCCCAACTCGTACTCCCTCAAAAGTAACTTCTTGCTCTGGATGAGTAAATATATGAATTTCCAAGTAACAAACCTTGTAGATGGTGCTACCCAGCTGAGCAGGAGACATGCTGACGACAACCCCGGCGCTCTGCAGAGCAGCTATCTTCTCCTTAGCTCCACCCTTTCCCCCAGCAATGATTGCTCCAGCGTGACCCATCCTCCTGCCTGGAGGAGCGGTCAGACCAGCGATGAATGACACTACCGGCTTGGCATCTGGACCCTGCGAAGAATTAAAAGATACAATTTCACGTGTGGGTGAGCGAGGTGAACAGGAATTCCAGATTTCATTTTATTTTGTTTATCAATCAACTAGCCAGGCAATGATATTAAACAGCTAGAAACCTCAGACCACACAAAACCAAGAGACTGAAGAGTGGAGAATACTTTCTCTCCTGATAAGCATCATAAACCAGAAGCAGTCAGAAACTTAAAAACATCTCTCTACAGAGCCATGTGTATTACAAAAATCGTAAAGTTCACTACAAATTTCATTACAGGACTAAAAATCTAAAAGTTAACATTGCTTTCCTGATAGATTTACTCTGAATAAAGCTTCTAATTTCAACTCTTTAATAAAAGTATGACTGTTTAGGTTTTTTTGTAAATAGAGATTAGAGATTGAACTGAGTTTTCCTTGACATGGCAATAGAAGACAGCAAACTACCAAGGCGTATGGAAGCAAGCTGGTTAAAGACTTACAGCATTATTTGCCTTCAAGAACGCTGCTGCATCTTCTTCAGCATTTCCTCCGATCTCCCCAATCAATATGATCCCCTCAGTATGAGGATCCTTCAGAAAGACATCAAGGCAGTCAATAAAATTAGTTCCATTGAAGGGATCGCCTCCAATTCCTGAAAAAAAAAAATTAAAACCACAAAAATAGAACTAACTCAAGACAATGATACTGCATTTGCGATAAAAGTTTCAAATTTCAGCACAAAGAGCATTCCCAAAGGTCCATATGAGAGGCAGCTCTGAAGGCTCTTCCCAAATCAGTGTGCCAAATTCCTGCTCCAAGTATCTCCCCTACAATTTACAGAAGGTTTTGATATCTGAACGATCACCTTTCAAACGATAAGCAAAATATTATGCCTTATATAGAGGCTCTGTATAAGACACAGCAGGACCAATACCCCAGAGATCTAGAATTTTGTTGTAAGAAAACTGAATTTACTTAACTATCCCTTTATAATATCAAAACTTCTTGGGGAAATTTGTTTCCAATTTGACAGAATATTTGCTGACAGTTCTCCACTCAAAGCTGGTCTTTAGACTATTATTAATCTGATGTGGAAAAGACAATAAAGAAGGGTTAGAGACTTCACTGCACATAGGGATCTCATTTCTCAACATAACTGCAATTCAGCAAATTCTTGGAAAAATAAATTACTTTGGATTTCATCTTGTAAAGAAAAAGCAGATTAGTTGAGGTGCAACAGGCTGCTTCTGAGGACACCTACCAACGCAGAAAGACTGCCCCAATCCAACCTGTGTTGTCTGATGAACAGCTTCGTATGTCAGGGTTCCAGATCTCGACACAATACCTTTAGGAGAGAAAAGGAGATAAGCTCAACGCTAACACAGCTAACCAAGGGCAGCTGGGCTTACACTCATGAAAACCACCTTAATAAACTGAACATGAGATGCCAGGTTTTAGAGCTATCCTCGCCAAAACATGAAAACTCTATACAAGATTCTACCTGTACTATTTCTTGGTTGGCATTTTTTGACACTTAATTGTCAACAGACTAAACCTGCCCAGAAAGTCAGTCTCTGGCTGAGACAGCATTCCTCACACTACAGCTTTTACCAGGAAAGAAAACTAAAAACAAATAGACGAATGCACTTCTTATCTTGTATGTGAGCAGCTGATGCACTGAACTTGAAACAGAGTTGCAGCTCAACATTTAATAGAAGAATTTATATTAATCACATCTCCAGTATGGCCAGGCACACAAGAGATTGCCCAGAACGGAAATATGCTGCACAAATGCAAGTTATCACTATTAAGGTATTTGTTGCTGCAGCTCACTGCTCTGCAACACACATTGAGCACTTGGAGAGACCACAACCCTAGTTTTAAACTCAGGATGGAAGGTAATAAAGAGCCTAGATCAGGGACAAAATGTTTACATTGTTTTGGTTCATTTTTCCAAGTCAAGATTTCTGTTAATACTGCAAGAGGGAAGGTTTCCAGGAAAAACAGACATCATCTACCATGTACTTCAAGCCATCTAACAGGAACATAAGTATATTGCATGAACAGCGGAAAAACTGCACCACTAGACTACTAACTTTAGTCTTATCAACTGTTTATGCTGGTGGACAGCGCAGATGTCTACTAGCAAAGGCTTTTTTTTATTGCCATGTTTGCAAAGGGCTTCCTGTTTACTATTAAGATCAAACTGCCCCACAGAAGCTACAGATAAAGGTCCAAAGATTGTGGCTATTTTTACAGCTTGCATCCCAAGATTAGGAAATGAATCTTGGACACCTCATGGTAATAGAAAGCTGGGGAGCATATCACCAAAGGTCATTGTGTTAGATGAAGCTAAGAGGATAGCACAGTTACATTTTTATTCCCTGGTCCTTGGATCACCACTGAAAACGTTTCCAGCAATGGAGCAGCAATTGGATTCAAGATTTAAAAGGTTTTTTGCACTTGATGTGCCTTGCATTCAGGCATCCCAACATTTTGTGCCTACAAGAAATTTCTTGGAGATATTTAGAAAATCTTAACAGAACTTTGATTCAGAAGGGAGCTCAGGGCCATATTGGTTGATGCTGCCTTTTACAGTCATAGAGCAAAGCCTTGACGGTATCTGCAAAGGGGATAATTGCAGTCATTCGATATTTCAGGTTCACGGGTACTTCTGAACGCAGGAGGTGTGACACGAGTGTGAACGCATCCTCCAGCATCCACTAGGTACAGCCTACTTCTACAGTCAGTCAGAAGTGCTTAAGTAGCAGAAATAGTTTCTCACATTAGAAAAACTAAACCAAGTCCACGTAGCTCAAGAGCACTGAACTGATTTTCCCCACAGTAAACACACTTTTCAAAGAAAAATGGTAATGTTGCTGAAAGAAAACAGTGGCGTATGTCATCTACAACACTTCTGGAGCTCTGGTACAAAGATGTATTTTGGAAGAGTTTTCTTCATAGCTCCTGAACAGCATAATTTTTTAAGTAATCAAGTTATTCTTTCTATAGTTCAGTACAAGGAAACAACAGAAGTCAGGACAAGAGGCTTGCATGCAACAAGGTGTGTAACTAACATATGATTATGATCAAGTCCCTGCCCTTAATTCCACTGTCTGAGAAGTGGGTGTATTTGTCACTTCCACTCAGCATGGTGTAATTGTCTAAATTACCACATTAAAAACTTGCCTGTCCTCTCTTCTCTTTGCTATACTACTGAGCTCACTATAGGTGTACGATTCCAGTCCTCAGGAGCCAAGCTGTTGGTAGGAATAGTGCTGGAGATTTTAGTGCTCTCAAATCCCAAGACAAAAGCAAGTATCCTCAAAGGAGAGTGTTAAGGAAACTACGTCAATCACATTACCTAAGGAAACTTCAAGTTGCTTTGCTTCTACCATCAGTACTCAGTCATATAGTATGGTAGACCGGTTGATTTTGGCTGTCAGGATTGATAATGGCAAAGTTCACTTAAACTGAAGGACAGACAAGCTGTTATATAGCATGTCAGCTGTCTTCAGGGCAGTGACTGCCTCATCAATAAGAGCACTAGACTACCAAACTTTAGTTTTAGATGATGCATAAATATTCAAAAACTCACCAATTCTTCCCTTCTTGTGAATGTGACCAGGCATGATACCAATTTTACATTCTCCAGGCTAAGGCAAGAGTGGGAGAAGTCAGATGGAACATTCAAACCATCGCTACGAATGGTTCAGCCTCGGAGCAAATCCAGAAGTCACTTACATTGATGACTCCAGGGCAGTTGGGGCCCACTAGCCGAGTCTTATCCTGCCGAAGCAGTCTGTGTTTAACCCGAACCATGTCCTGCTGGGGAATACCTTCAGTAATGCATACAACTAAGGGCATTTCTGCATCGATTGCTTCGTTGATGGCAGCAGCAGCAAACGGAGGAGGGACATATATAACAGTGGCAGAAGCACCAGTTTGTTCTTTGGCCTACAATGGACATAACAAAAGATATCAAGGATTTAGTGAGGTGGAAGAGAACATTTGACAACTAATCATTTAAAATATGTCCATTCACTGGCAGAAATGAAGCGAATGGACATACGCATTAATTTATTATATCAAAGGGAGCGTTAAATTCACTGAAGACAGGACACATACAGCACAACTAGGGAACCGAGAACTAAGCACTGCCCCATGAACACCATCATAAATACTCTTAGATTACGGTTTGCTAAAAATTCATCATACACACCAGAATCAACCAGAAACTAGCTGAACCCATAAAGTAAGTGTATCCAGGCTCTGTGAACTTTGCAGTGGAAGCCAAACTCATGCTTGACCACAATGAATGCTCCCTCTTTTACAAGGTTTCTATTTCATTCCTTGCACAGTGACACCCATGGCTGAAACATCTGTCTTTTCAGTGTAATGAAATAAGGAACCCTTCAGCAGCATTAAAGTGTCTGCCCTCTAGTCATTGCTGCATATTACCTCCTTCACGGAATTAAACACAGGCAGACCCAGATGAGTTTTTCCCCCTTTCCCTGGAGAAATTCCTCCAACTAGATTGGTGCCATAGTCCAATGCCTGCTGACTGTGAAAGGTGCCCTGTGAGAGAGAAAATAAGTAAAGTTAAAAGGCATGTAATAGCAAATAAAGTGAACCAAAAGAAGTTGATGTTATCTATAATTCTGAAAGCAATTTACTGCACTTCAGTTTGCAATGAAGAGAAAAGTTTTCACTACATATATTCAAACAGCTATTTTGAAGAGTGCATCAACATGTTTTAAATGGATCGAAAATATGCTGTGCTTTTTCTTTTATATCAGAGCACTGTGGTCACACACTAAAGCCTATTTTGCTGTGTACTGCTAATACACCTGCAGACATAGCAGCCACATTTTATTTTCCACATCAAGTCTGACAGATAGCAAACACTATAATGAAATAGAAGAAATCGGCATTCTCATCCACGACTAGCTGACAGTTCTAGCAAAAGCAGTCTTCTCTCCTTGCAAGCGTGCAAAAGAGTGAATGTGAGAAAATTATTAAATATCCTGAAATAAAAACAGAAATTCAATTCACAGGCATTGACATTCAAAGGCATTTGTGAAAGAAGCACTTCTGAAACAGTAAAGTTTTTGTAGCTCTTTGCAAATCTCTCTTTATAAAGAAACCCTTTCAGCTGTATACAAGAAAAAGGCTTAAGACCAAAACCACCAACAAAGATCAAAGGTAATATGATAGAGAGGACTCAAAACCAAGTTTTAAGCTTATGCATGAGTGAATAAAAATATCTAGTCTACTGAACTTCAGAAAAAAAAGTCTATTTGGACCAAAGAAAGCTAACTACAGTGCTGGAGGGACATTCCTGGTCATGAAGCCCACCTCCTACCAATGCAGTCAAAGCCAGTATATAATGCCCTCGATATGTTATTATGGGTTTTGGCCAACTAACTTCCTGAACTGAAAGGGTGGTAGAAGAAATAGTTCACATACGTACCTGTTTGCCTGTAAAACCCTGACAGATAACCTTGGTATTTTTGTTAATATACAGATTCTTCCTTGATGCCGAGTAGGAGCAGTGCCGTACTCCATTCTGCTGCACTAGAGGAAAAAAGAAGAGAGGACAAACCATTAATCTACTGCTTTGTTAGAATCTAAGTCAAAATATATTGTATCAAGTAAGTACATATGTATTAATGCTTATATCAAAAAATTAACTGATCCAGTAGTTCATGTTTTCAAAAAGCAGCTCTTAAAGTTGTAAGTGTTTAGGACTTGTTATTCTAAGATATCAAACACCTGTAGTTCAGTCTACCCGTCACTGTGATTACTCAGTTTGCCAAGAATCAGGGTAGGTATTTTATGTTACTATCAATATCTTTAGCTCTTTTAAAACTTTACCACTTCAGATTTGAGGAAGTAAAAACTGAAGTTGAAATTAAAATACGAGATTCTGAATCACGGTCCCTGGACTGTTCCACACACTTGCTCGGGCACGTCTGAACAAGGGAGAGATTTCTCTCTTTCTTTTTCTATTTTTAGAAAGGAAGCAAAAGCTATTAAGTGGAAAAAAGAAAAAAGTATTCTTCGTTATAAACTGCTAATGCACAGAATTTATTGAGATGCTTTATTAACATCTTTAATAACACAACTTCTACAGGGTGATTAAAAAAGTGCAGAAAATTTAAGATCTATGTATAAAGACATTTCTATCACAGAAGTGCCATTCTGTAAGTTGTGGCATTTCATCTTCAGACCAACATGAAGTAAAATTCAGCTAGATTTTAAAGAGAAACGTACAGACTAACATGCAGTTATCTTGTAAGAAAAGTGGTAAAAGTGCATGTCAACATATTGACCATTAGTGTTTTAACCTAAATCTCATCTTTATCCACACGTACTTTTACAAAACCTTTTACACCAAGGAGAAATACAAAGCAGTAATAGTCAAAATACATCTGAAGCCAAGATTCAATGACTAAGGTTGTAGGTTTGACTGTGGAAGGGTAGAGGAAAGCTTTGCTGATCAACTGCCACAGCTACAGAAGACAGCACAGCATGGTCTTCGTGTTTGGCCAAGTCTCAGTCCATCTGAGCCAAATTATTCAGGCAACCCCTCACGGGCATGGGATTCAACTGGGTGAAACCCATCCCTAAGAAAAGCAGAGGATGATACCCCTGAGAAGAAGCAGTTGCAGCCATAGACATAGGATGGTTTGGGTTGGAAGGGACCTTAAAGCTCATCCAGTCCAACCCCTGCCATGGGCAGGGGCACCCTCCACCAGACCAGGCTGCCCAAAACCCCATCCGACAGTTCTCACCAGACCAGGCTGCCCAAAACCCCATCCAACCTGGCCTTGAACACTGCCAGAGAGGGGGCATCCACAACTTCCCTGGGCAACCGGGGCCAGGGTCTCACCACCCTCACAGTAAAGAATTTCTTCCTAGTATCTAGTCTAAATCTACCCTCCTTTCAATTATGCCTTGTCCTATCACTACCTGCCCTTGTAAAAAGTCCCTCCCCATCTTTCCTGTAGGTTCCCTTTAAGTACTGGAAGGTTGCTATAACGTCCCTCCAGAGCCTTCTCTTCTCCAGACTGAACAGCCCCAACTCTCTCAGCCTGGCCTTGCAGGGGAGGTGCTCCAGCCCCTGATCATCTTTGTGGCCTCCTCTGGACCTGCTTCAACAGCTCCATGCCCTTATGCTGGGGGCTCCTAGAGCTGGACACAAAACTCCCGGTGGGGTCTCACGAGAGCTATGACCTACCACCACCAATGCCTTGTGGAGAATGGTCTGGGCTTCCAGAAGTGTGGGAGTGCCTGTTCTGAAAGCCCTCTGATGGGCCTGCGAGGGTAAAGAATAAAGAGGCAACACAAAACTAATTCAAATCTACGTTTTACATGTATTGTCTGTGTTACAACACTGACAAATCCACCCACAAAATAAGAGAGTGCTGCTTGCACACAGCATGCACTCAGTACCTTCAGTATTTTGCGGGGGAGGAGGTAAAAGGAAACCAAAAACCCCAAACTTTTGACAAATAGTCACTTCTTTATTTTATATATATATACACATATAAAAGCAATTCTACAGTTCCACCTCAGCTGTCCATTCCATTCCAATCTATTTTCAGATATTTATACCCTTGCACAAAAATGCTTTTGAAAGTTTAAGTTTGTCAATTCTCAGTCTTGAGAAGTTTATATAGGTATATTTTTCAAAGATAACAAGGTTTTGGCATTTTCCACACTATCAAAGTAGAAAAATACATATAGATTTATTTTTATGCACTGATAACTACAATCCAGCTTAAATCCCAAGCTTTGTATGGATGGATTTGCTCTTGAAAACTGTGCTTCTTACATGACGGAAGAGCCCTGGTTCAGAGAAAATACAGCCGAGTCAAAAAAGCCTGGCCAGAGGCTTGAGCCATTTGCTGCCTTCAGAGAGAAGCAGCTTAGCATAGGCACGTGTCTGGGGAGCGATACATTTTGGGAAAAAAAAATACATTAAAGAAAATCACCTTATACTTTCTGAGCTGAAAATGAGTTGTGGTGGGTTTTTAAGCTGCCATGGCACAGCTCTGTATTTCTCCCCACGGCCTTGTCTGAAGCAGTGAAGTTTGCTCCCAGCTATCAGCACATCACTCAAGATGAGGTTCTGCTACACGTGGCATGAACAGCGAGCCCTGGGTGCAAACGGCTGGCAATTTCAATAGTTAAGACGGATATAAGATGAGAAAGAAACAGGTGGAAAATCAAAATGGCACACGCCTAAGTTCACAGCAGGTAAGGGTCAGAAATAGAATCCAAGTCTCAATTTCCACTAAGTCCTTCATTCACCACCTCGTACCGCTTCACAACCTCCACTGCCTGCTTAGGTAACGGCTTTTACTAGAACAAATGAGGGTGCCCGAGTGTAAACGCTTGTTTCTTCAAGAAGACAGGACAAAAAAACTCTCTTCTGGTTTCTAGAATTCAGCCATGAGCTAGTAAAGGCCACATTCACTGACGATGCTATTTTAATGCACACGTCTACATTACAGGCCAAGTTACAAAGGTGCAGGCTTCAGATGAAGCCCTAGAGCATCAGGATGAGTCTTATCAAATCCAGATCTTAACAAAAGCATGCTAAACTGCTGTGTTTTGTATAATCAGAGGTCTAACATAACATTACTGTGTCCAACAAAGACCTTTTGAAAAGAGCATTAAAGCTAATATTAAAATAATAGATCCTCTTTCCCAAGCAACCCCTTCCACTTCTGCCCCGTCCCTGTCCTGTTTTACATAGTTTGTGGTTTAAAAAAAGGAAGGAAAAAAGTGATGCAAATCACAGGACACATTTATTTTGGTTTTCCAGTACTTCAGCTTCTGCATAGCTAAAGAAATGTACTGTGGCAAGAAGCTATTCCAGTCCATTGTACAGGACAACCCAAGTAGTTATGAAAAGTACCCAAGTACCAAAACCCTGCTGTTGCAGGACAGATTTGAAAAGGAAGATCTACATTCAGCAGAAGGGCATAAGCCTGTATATACAATATCAGTAGTTTTACAGTAAAGAAACCTTACTAGAAACCAAGAGACAGACTTCTTTCCAACACACGCGCTGCTGTTACTCCTGCATTGCCAGGGAGTAAAGCCCCGGCTGAGTCCAGAAGTCTCTGCAGTCCCAGTAACACAACAACCCAGTCACATCACTCCTTAAACAAAAACTCACCATCTGTAGACTTGAGCAGGGCTTTAAGCTCCCTCGTGTATTACAGAGCCTTTCTAGAAAAATCCACAATTATTCACTGTGAAGTCCAGACATGAATTTAAGTATCAAAAAGAAAAATGACCCCTTTGCAAGATATCTTAAAGCACACATTAAATGTAAATATTGTTTCCACTGGGCTTTCAGGCACACACTGACCCGTGACACCTCCCAAACACAAATCTCATTCAAAATGATACAACCCAAGCTACATTTGCCCAGCTAGCTGCAAGTACAAACACCAAGGGCTACATCTCTTCCTCACTCGAACCTTAGAAAGCTGAAAACTTGTTACTTTCAGGAATTCCTGCAAGATTCCCTAGAGCTACGGACAGGAATCCAAGTCAGTGTGGCTCTGTCTTGCCCTCATTTATCCCAGACAAGAAGAAAAGCAAGTTTGGAAGCTGAGGTAGCATCTGAGGGTGCTCACAAAACAAGCACAATACAAAAGCACGGCAAAACAGCAGAGATACCTGCTCAGGTCCTTCTAGCAATGAATCTACATTGCTAGAAAACTGGTAAGTCATGTAGTGAATTCTCCCTCTATTACTCCTTGAAATAGGCAGAGAACTTAGCAGTGAAGGAAGATACTCCTTTTCCTTTCTATCAGCTACATCAGGAAAGGAGAAAGCCTTAGAAATCATATGGGCTCCAACACAAATGAGGAAAATTAAGGTTAGTTGAAATAAAAAAGTTTGGCAGAGACCAAAGCACTGCAGCAAATTTCAGAGTTTACTGACTAGTAACTTCATCTTAACAAGTAAACTCCACACACAGTTTCCCATCCCAGGCCTTTATTAGGTTTCAGTCTTCATTATCAGGCCATATGGATGTATTCACACATACAACTGTATTTGGATAATTCTCTGCCCTCCCCAAACCCATCTACAGAATTGACCCTTAAAGGTACCAGTTGCATTAGTAAAAGATGATCCTTCTTGACAAAGAAGTTTTCACATTATTGAGGGACTGATCAAAATATCTCACTCCTGTTTTTAAAGGGGATTATGTGCTCAGAGGAGGATTTCTAGGTATCGCTTCCCAGCCTCTCTTCTCTCACCCTTCCCTTGCCAAATTCCTGTTAATTGTGGAAACACCAAACTATGAACACAGCATAGGAGCTGAGGAATTAAGTAAATCAATCAGGCCGTAAAGGACAGATGCAATGACTACACTACACTTAAGACATGAAACCAAATTAGAGCTAATGGGCAAACGACAGAAAAGTGTCAGTACTTTTGACACACCTCTCTCCTAATCAAAACTCCCTGCTCATTGTGACGGACATCACCAGCTACAGGCGCTCATGGGAAACAGCAGCACTTGAAAGAAAATCTTTCTCCTGAATTTGTGAAGCTAAACCAGGGTGAAGCATCTCAGTGACTCCACAAGCCCACGGGCAAACAGACACGTTCTTCTAGCACAAGTAACCGATTCCTGCAAGGCAAAACTGCTTTTCCCCATGTACACTCCACTAAGAACATGGTCTGGGAGCTTTCCTGCCCCCACGTTGTTTACATGAAAACAGCTAATTCTTCAATTCAGATTGGTTTTCTGCAGCAATTCTTTGCCAGGGTTATTCACATAATTCACTGTAATCTTTTAATCTAAGAGCTTTGCAAAGCCTTCTCATACGCTGAGAACACAAGATCCCTAATCCCAACTCTCCGATCACACAGTTAAGGTGCCTACAGAGCCTCTCTTCACAGGCATGGGTCTTCCTTGAATCACAGAATCACAGAATCACAGAACGTTAGGGATTGGCAGGGACCTAAAAAGATAATTTAGTCCAATCCCCCTGCCGGAGCAGGAACACCCAGATGAGGTTGCACAGGAAGGCGTCCAGGTGGGTTTTGAATGTCTCCAGAGAAGGAGACTCCACAACCTCTCTGGGCAGCCTGTTCCAGTGCTCTGTCACCCTCACTGAGAAGTTTCTTCTCAAATTGAAGTGGAACCTCCTGTGTTCCAGCTTGTGCCCATTACCTCTTGTCCTATCATTGTTTGTCACCGAGAAGAGCCTGGCTCCATCCTCGTGACACTCACCCTTTCAATATTTATAAACATGAATGAGGTCTCCCCTCAGTCTCCTCTTCTGCAAACTAAAGAGACCCAGCTCCCTCAGCCGCTCCTCATAAGGGAGATGCTCCACTCCCTTGATCATCTTTGTAGCCCTACGCTGGACTCTCTCCAGCAGTTCCCTGTCCTTCTTGAACTGAGGGGCCCAGAACTGGACACAATATTCCAGATGGGGTCTCACCAGGGCAGAGTAGAGGGGGAGGAGAACCCATTCTCATGTGGGCATTCTCATGCCCACATTCAAACAGTGCTTTCAGCTGAC